CGTTCTATTACTAAAATAAAATTATTGAATTTATAATGATACCACAAAATTTTATCGATAAATCTCCATTTTCTGACGAAGACTTTGTTGTTTAGCAATATCATGAGAGCAATGGGCATGAAAAAACTACGAGTCTGTGAGACGATTGATTTCATCTATTGCTAATGAGTCGATTGGTATTGCTCAAAAATAACAAATTTTCAGTTGAAAAAATTGACATTTATCTGAGAAAAAATTAGTTCAAGTGACATACGGTCTAATTTAAATAAATATCCAGTTAAACTCTCAAGTGTTCGTACAGAAATCCCTCCTTTTTTTCAAGAATTTCAACACGATTCATGACACTTCATGTACACTTAAGAAAGTCATGGTACATAATGATAATACTAATCAACGTCTTTATTATTTCCATTTATTAGACACTTCTGTAATATTTCAATCTAAATATAATTCAATAATGTGAAGAAATGTCAGATACTTGATGAATAATATATATCAATTATTTTCAGAGAAAAGTTGACACGAACATACAAATTCAATTTTTTCAGGAAATACTATTGATTCGGGTAATTTTAATTACCCGGAAATAAAATTAGAAATCAAAACATTGATGACTTTACTCTGAAGATGTGATTGGCCAAACGATATTCTAAATATTCATTATATACCAAATTTCCATTTATCAGCATATTCGATGTGAAAAAACAAAGCAAATGAACTGCTCGGGTATCATTATGAATGAATTAGGAATTGTTTTAAACGTTTGTTTTTCGATATTCATTGATACTTTCATATATGTATTAGTAGATAGAATTACTACAGTTTCAGTTAAACTGTTTGGACATTAATAACTAACCTGTATATAATATATAGGTACTTTGGAATCAATATGCCAAAATGTGACTTTTGCCGAAATTAAATTTTGTTTTTGAAAAGTAAACTTATTTCACAAAAACATGGTAAAAAGATAATCCCCTTTAATTTGTAAATATGATAGAAGTAATCATATGAAATCTTCATTTTTTGGAATTTACTAAAATCTATTTCCCACATTCGTCCACTTATTTTCTGAACTTTCTTTTCGTAAAATATTCAATTCTTCTGAGTTTTTCATCAATATTGGAAATCCTTAGACTCATCTAACTTAAAAAACTTAGAAACCAGAAATCACCAGTCATCGGTGAATCATCAAGATGAATAAACCTCTGAAGAGGAGCTGGCGAAACGTTACGAAAGCAATAACTGGGAAAATAATTATCACATAAGCATACTTCTGATGGGCCTGCCGAAACTGAATGTTTGAGTCGTCTAAATACCTACATATTTTAATAAATTTAATTACTTTACCGCATAATTTAGGCACCAATCTGGGCTTGAAATCGAACCTTGCGGTACATAGCAAAGACACATTACTGTTTTTATTATATCAATAATCTCCAATGAGTAAATAAACATTTAATTCCGATATAGACGAATTTGATATGAAATTTACAACTTTCAAGAGTAAATTTGAAGAGAAAAAAATCGAAGATTATAGTATCATGAAATTCCACATTGTAGGCCAATATGCCAAAATGTGACTTGCTGACTGCTGAAATTGAAAATTTCTTTTGAAAAGTAAACATGGTGAAACTTGTAAATATGAAAGAAGTAATCATGTGACATCTTAATATTGTGGAATTCACTAAAATCTATTTCCCATATGGATTCACTTATTTTTAAACTTCCTATTCGTGAATTCTTCAATTCTTCTGATTTTTTTATCAATATTTGAAATTTTTAGACTCATTCATATCGATACCTTCATATAAAATATATTTCAAAATCTTTTGTAATTTTCAGTCTCCTCATGATCCCTCTCACTTGCTTGAGAACACCATTAGTTTTCAAGGAGTATATGCTAAAAATGTTTGTAGAAAACACAATATCTACCAAATTCAATAAATACCATCAGAAATTGACACGGCAAACCTTATAATTTGAAATCCACTCGAATAAGATATTCACGACAATTCGTGAATCATCTCATGATGATGTTAACATTTGTCATTGTTTGGTATGGAAAAAGTTTTTTCTTCAGAACATGTTTACCAATGAATTATTTGGAAAAAATCATTTTGCATCAGTATATCAGTCGAAATTGACTCCTAATAAGCCAGTGTAACCTGAAAAGAAATCCAGCCAGTTTCACAAAAAAAATAATTCTTGAGTGGAAGCTTGTCATCTTCATCTTTAACTATACGATAAAATGAATTTATGGACAAAGAAAATTGACAGAGAACATGACAGTTTATATAGAAAGTAAAATGAAAATATCAGTAGTTACAGACCCTCCCAAATTATGAATGAAAAGGAAATGAATTGAAGCTATATAAGTAGTAACCTAAAAAAGAATATTTTTCAGGAATTCTCAAACAAAGCTTTCATATATTCAATTCCCCATAGACAGCAAGTTTCACGATGTATTCTTATACTTTGTTCTTACATTCAATATCTTACTTCATTGCGAATGAATTATTCGTTATTAACACCTTCACAAGGACGGGAAATGTCAGTACAACAATATATTATACCATTCTGATTTCAATCATTATTCATTGTTTGTGTTCATCAATAATGAATTATTGAATATTAAATCTTGAGAAAATTTATTGTTTTGCGTTACAAAGACGTAATTTGGCATCGGAAATGCCAGTTAGTCATCAAATCGGTATTGCGAAATACCATTCTCATGAAGAAGCATTGATGTTTTCTATTCTTATGATGATGGAGAATAAAATATGTTGATGGAATCAAATTCCAGCTTTCAAAATCACGTATTTTCCGTCATTTCAAGCAAACTTGTGGCTTTAGTCAACAGTCTTTGACGTGAATGAGTTATTTCCAGTAGAAATTGGGTAGAATCGAGGGCAAGGTGATTCTGGCATTAAGTTGATATAATTTCAACTCAACTAAAGATATAAACTGGAGTTATTCAAAATTGAGGTGAATGAATTTCGGTGACAATATGTTGGGACAGTGGCGTCATCGATTGGCTCGTCACCAATTTTAATTCTGGAAATGAGAGCTGAGATCGGAATACAACCATACACTATACATAATCTTTGATATCGTTCTCTCGATATAAGTTTGAAGCTCCAAAGTAGTATCTTTAGATAATTAGAAAAAATGGGTTTTTCAGTTGATTGAAAAATGTATTTAACTTGAAGAATGTTTCCAGAAGACTCAGGAAGTTAACTTTGGAAAAAATTTTGTTTGCGTACTTCTTTCAATAAAGTATTCTCATTATGGTCGGTTTTTTGTATTTTAGAAGAATGAAAATATTGAGTACTGGTCAAGAATCTTCACCATGAATATTACTGTCATTCTAACTCCTCGACACGTGTTTCGATCACCAAGTGATCAAGATCAAGATCTTCCTCTGGAAGATGATCACTTGGTGATCGAAACACGTGTCAAGGTGTTAAAATAACGGTTTGGTGTTGGGAAAAACCTCGAGTGATATTCGTTACTTCACCAATGGTTCCAAACAGTGCATCACAAATCTTCACCATCTTCAGTTCACTTGATCAATAAATCCATTTACAACTGAGTACTTTATTCAGAATCCCATTATACTGGGCATTAGCGGAAATAGATAATATATCGATTGTAGTGCAATGGAGACTGACAAATTAAAGGTGGAGTTTTTACATAACGTACCTATCTGAAATTTCTAATATTTTCATGATATCAATAGTTCAGGAAAGAATAAAATTGTTATGCAAATATAAAGGGTTCCACAAAAAATTGGGTATAATTACATCACAAACGCCATTGTATCTTCGCCACAGAAGATAGTAGGAAGTATTGAAAGACAAATAATTGAGTATTTGATTAAAATATGGCTAAAACGGGGCAAATCGAAAACTTTTTCTTTATTGAAAGGTTCATAAAAAACCTAAAACTTCATATGAACATATCTTGAATAATATTACTGGAGTTTAATTCCAACACCAAATGATTATTTTTAACACCTCGACACGTGTTTCGATCACCAAGTGATCATCTTCAAGAGGAAGATCAAACTTGGAGTATTTAGTAAGTGGAAGTAAGTGGAGAGAATTTATCATCTCACAGCCAGAATTTAGTTTAATCTCTGTAAGTATCAAATGTCTGAGAAACAATTTTCTTATTTTTCTTTGTCAAAATTATTATTATATCATAAATTGAAGTTATGATATCCACAACATTCCTCTTCTCACACAAAAGTATATTACGATTGACACATCACTGATCAGTCACAAATTGAGAGGAATGAAGTTTGAAGGATATGAATATGTGTATTTTCACGCTCTATTTTAATTAATCTATTCGTTTTCTAGGAAAAGTTGTTTTAAATCGTTCAACATAAAAAGTATGTACTCACTAAAATATTGGCACGTTCACTTGTTATAATATCAATTGATATTCACTTTGCTTTCGAAAAAGTAGACTTGAGATTGAAAGAAATTTCAATAAAAATTAAATTTACAATGATAAACTTGTGGAACGTGTTCTTTTATACAGTTCTTAAAATTGAAGGTGGAAAAGGCTTATGCTACTTGGTAGTGTATTTATTGTGAATATTTCTTCTCTATTATTTTAATAAACTTTCTGAATGAATGAATGACTGAATGAAAAATATTTTGTTGCAAATATTTTTATGTTTTCATAAATTTTATGGAAATGTGAGTTGAATGAAGCTCTAAGTAAGTACGTGGTAGTTTCCTAATGTCTTTTCTGTTTTTGTTTTTGATCAATGCAGTACTTTTTCCTCAATATCTGGATTGAATAAATTCTCTCTTTCATTAAACCCAGTAAGTAGTATACTTGTCATGAAGAAATTTTTAATACGTGAAAGTCAGAAATGAAAAACGATTTTGAGTAGATCTTTACACTTTCCGAACATAAAACTTTGTGGTCAAGCTCATTACTGAACAAAAAATTCAAAAGGGAAAGCGAATCTTGGAAAAACTCACCCAAAAGTGTGTTGATCTTCCTGATGAAAATATTCACTGGAACACTTTTACTTCTCATGTTTGCGAACTAGTCAAAACCACACCATAAAATCCAATCGTTTCCTAGGACACTATCTGCAAAAGCATTTCGAAAAACGGCAACTTCACTTCGAAATTCAAACTCCACGAACTGATCGCCAAGAGCAGCGCGAGAGAAACAGTTGAACGTTGCGCTCGCTACGGTGACTCGATCCACACTGTTTACATCGCGCGGCAGCCCTTCGACCCCCGAGTAGATTCGGGAATAGAATCCACCCCTCCCTTTCGCCCTCAGAAAGGGCAGTGAAAAGTCAGGATATGAGTGGTTGTGACGTTTCGCCACCCCCTTCCACACGGCTCACTTGAACGTTCAAGACGGACGAAAGACAGTCAGCAGCAGGTTCACACTGATGACGAGACCAACACATTCAGATTCATCTATCTGTCTGTCGCACGTTTGACGAGGAGCCGCGGTCCAGGACAGGAGACGGAGAAGCTGCGAGCTCGACTAGTGGGGGAAGTGTGTTATTGGTGATGTATGATTCAAGAATCTCAGTCTGTTCGTCGTTAGTGATTGACTGGATTTTATTTTGAGGTGCTTCCTGAAATTGTAGCGCTGACAGTGAAGCGGGCTTTGGGGTCGCTTGTGAATTTCATCCTATGACTTTGCAATTTCAAGTTATCGGAAATTTGAAGATATGGCGGAAGCGCAGGGAACAATTATTTCGTTAGTACTTGCGTTGAACGAATTTGAATAAACAAGGTGGTGCCGTGATAGTGGAAAAACAGTAAAAGTGAAGGAGGGACATAATATAGTCCAGTGCTATTTTGATCAAATTGAAACATGATTGAAATGATGATAACAAGTAATTACGTAAGAAGATTTACGTCAGGCCTCTTTGCCTGATTACATGGATGAGAGAAGTCAAATGATAACTTGTTATAATGCTCCTAAATTGCCAAACAAAGGAAGTGGATGTTTTTTTCAACCAATAGAATAAATGACAAACAGCATAAGGAAAATGAACTAATAAACTTTATTGACTCGAATATGAATAGACGCATTATCAAAAATTTCAATTCACATTTTTGAATGTAAATCTTTCCTACAAGAGGTCGATTTTCAGAGAAATTTCATATTTAACTCTTATAACTTTCATAAAATTGTGTGAATTTGACAAATTGTTAATTAGAATTTTCAGTTTTATATAACGATTGATTACTCGTTATATTTTGCTTATTGCTTCTCATTCATAATAAATTATTGAGAAAAAAGTTCATTGAAACAAGATCTTCTGAATACTGTTCTTTTACTTTTACCGTTCTGTATACTCTTTAATCGATTTCATCGATTGTTGGCAAGATTATTGGAATAATAATTGTTAATGCAAGTGAAATGCAATAACTTTGAAAGTGCACAATATAGTAAAATAAAATGTTTCAAAAACCTTCATTTGTGAAATTATACAACAACAATAAAAACTAATTGGCGCTCCGGGGCGACTTCATTGATTCCAGTGGCGCATTTGCTTTTTCAGCTGCAGAGAAACCCGGAAAAAGTTCTTGATCTGTATTTCAAATCAAATATTTGAGATTTGAAGTGAAAACTCATTCACTGAATAAAAAAAATTCGCTGACAGACGCAGAGACAATGACTCCATCTTGTTAAGTAATTCGCGTTCCCATAAAACTTCAAGAATAGATATGGTTACAACTATTTTATTCTATAATTCTTATTTACTCAAATTGATGGATGTAGTCGTTAGTGGTAGGAAATCATAATGAAGACAAGAGAATTGAAACTTCTATGTTTTTTACCACATTCATTTGTAACTGACGTTACTGCAGTTTCGTCATATAAGGACATTTTCAAACTTATACATCAAACTGTATGCATTAAACTTAATGGATGTAGCCGTTCTACGTGGTAGGAAATCATAATGAAGACAAGAGAATTGAAACTTCTATGTTTTTTATCACTTCCATTTGTAACTGACGTTACTGCAGTTTCTTCCTATAAGGACATTTTCAAACTTATACATCAAACTGTATGCATTAAACTGTCTAAGTATAAGTTTGAAAATGTCCTTATAGGACGAAACTGCAGTAACGTTAGTTACTAATAAAAGTGGTAAGAGAGAAAGTTTCAATTCTCTTATCTTCCTATTTAATGTATAATTCAGATTGAAAATAAATTTCTTTTCCTGTTTCTCTTCCTGACAGAAAAGTTACTTTCTTTCAAATCCACGGCCTCTGATCCAGACAAAATAATCTTGTATTGCTGTCCTCTGATTTTGCCATGCATCATTCACATTTTTAATTTCTGCCTAATTAATTCTGTTTTTCCTTCTGTTTGGAAACAATCAAATATTATCCCATTGGCGTAAAAACATGACGTTACAAGCATTAATGATCTGCATACTCTGCACTCTGTCAAAAGCTCTTGAAAATTGACGAACAGATTCGTGAGCACGTCCTGATGCACAATGTTTTTCCACACCACCAGTCAGGTTTCCGTCCAAATCATATAGCTGCGCCACTGCTCTCCTCAAAGTGACGGATGACATATTATTATTATGATATGCTTCGTCAACTGATAAAATCAAGTTAGTTAATTGAGAAGAATAACCTAATAAAAAGAAATTGATCTCGGGTAAAACAACCGTACTGTCAATATTGTTGTTAAGTAATGTTAAGATGTAATATCAAATCGTGTCAACAAAATGTTATGATTGATGCCTTTCGATTTAGACATAAGTATTTCAGGAACTTCCTCTGCACGCTCTCAATTGATGTTTTTTGGTAGTCGTAAACTGGATTCCATAACATAGAGCCATACTCTAACTTAGATCTGGCATACGCAAAATATAGTTTTTTGTCAATTCTGTGAATGAATTTAAGCATCCTATTTGCAAGCAAAGTCTGTAACTATTTCCATATACTTTTCCTTTTTTTTTACAGTAAAGTGTTTTCAGGAATATGCCGAACTCGACAAGTATTGAAGTAAATTGTTGCTAGACCAGTTGCAAACAAATGCGCGTACGTATTCAGATTAATCTGCCCATCGCACGTTCAAGGACTAACCATGATCCAGGACAGCACACGGAGACACTGCGAGATCGACTGATGGGGTGAATGTGTTATCGAGGATGCAAGATTTAAGGAATTTGACGGAGCTCATCTGTTGGTTAGTTATTCATTTTACTTTGAGGTGCTTCCTGAAATTGTATCGTAGGCAGAAGTGGAGGGGCAGGCTTTGGATCCGCCTGTGGGTTTCAACTACTGTGAATTGGAAATAGATTTCAGTTATCGGAGATTGGAACAGCTATTTTGCTACTCAGTACATGAGTTGAACAAAATAAAACAGGTGTCATTAACAAAGTTGACCTAATTCATAACTCACTACCTCGAGAACATTAACAGATGAGCAAATTCATAACTTTATGTGTTCCAGCTATTTTCAATGGCAAGTAAGCCTTACAAGTTTCCCACTTTGATATATGTATGTTTAAAATATGTTTTTTTGTTAACCCCTACGAGCAACAACCCTCAGAAGTCGAAAGTGCGAGCTAAGGACTAACGACGTCTTACCTTTTAACGTGTGATTCCTAACATGGGTTGGACGATAGCAAGTGAAAATCGATCGTCCAGCCTGCAACTTGAATCGCCTACTCCCACAGCGGTCGAATGCACACACGTCGAACCGACGGCTATCGACCCACATATCAAACTCTATTCATTGAACTGATATTTCGTTTTGGAATATATTGTTTCCAATGAGAAACAGGAAAAAACATGGACTCGGAAAGTGAAAACAAGTATATTCCAAGAATTTGTTTCCATTAAATTTTCAAACTATTTGAAATTGAACATGAAAACAAAAATTGAAAATATTTTTGGATACATTTTCAAGTTGCTTCTGGCTATGAAATTTATTGATGATTCTATCACAAATAAATCCCAGTTTAAACTATTCCTGTAAGTCATAGAAAAAGTATTGTATTCTACTCGAGAAAAATGGCCATTACTCACTCAAATGGATTTCGACAAATTAGTAATCAACACATTTCTCGCTAGTTGAGTAATAGGTATACTAATAATGTCAGAACGTTCATTTAGTATCGATATAATCAGTATGGACCAATGTCAGTGTCACCAAAAATTTCATTCAAATATTGTGTAATCCATTGAGTATAGATTTTTTTCTATTCTCCGCATGATCGAAATTTGAATTCCGACAAAAGTTTGCATGGTTAATGACCACGTATTGTTTATGATACCGAAATAAGTTATTCAAAAAAGTTGCTTGGAAATCGATTTTTTTCTTTTTTTTACAGTAAAGTGTTTTCAGGAATATACCGAACTCGACAAGTATTGAAGTAAATTGTTGCTAGACCAGTTGCAAACAAAAGGGCAGGTACGTATTCAGATTAATCTGCCCATTGCACGTTCAAAGACTAACCATGATCCAGAACAGCACACGGAGACACTGCGAGATCGACTGGTGGGGGGAATGTGTTATCGAGGATGCTAGATTTAAGGAGCTAAGGACTAACGACGTCTTACCTTCTAACGTGTGATTCCTAACACGGGTTAGACGATAGCAAGTGAAAATTGATCGTCCAGCCTGCAACTTGAACCACCTACTCACACAGCGGTCGATTGAGTGGGTTATCAATGCACACACGTCGAACCGATCGGCTACCGACCCAAATATCAAACGCTATTCATTTTACTGACATTTTGTTTTGAAATATATTGTTTCCAATGAGAAAAAGAAAAAAAAACATGGACTCGGAAAGTGAAAACAAATATATCCCAAGAATTTGCAATGTGGTGGACTTGAGTGCCAAAGTTCCTGTGTTCAGTCTCTCTCAATTTGTTTCCACTGAATTTTCAAACTATTTGAAATTGAAAATGAAAACAAAAATAGAAAATATTTTTGAATACATTTTCAGGTTGCTTCTGGCTATGAAATTTATTGATGATTCTATCACAAATAAATCCCACTTTAAAATATTCCTGTAAGTGATAGAAAAAGTAATGTATTCTACTCGAGAAAAATGACCATTACTCACTCAAATGGATTTCGACAAATGAGTAATCGACACATTTCTCGCTAGTTGAGTATTAGGTATACTAATAATGTCAGAACGTTCATTTAGTATCGATATAATCGGTATGAACCAAGTCAGTGTCACCAAAAATTTCATTCAAATGTTGTGTAATCCATTGAGTATAGATTTTTTTCTATTCTCCGCATAATTGAAATTTGAATTCCGACAAAAGTTTGCATGGTTAATGACCACGTATTGTTTATGATACCGAAATAAGTTATTCAAAAAAGTTGCTTGGAAATCGATTTTAATCCTACACACCGAATTTCAACGCAATATTTTAATTTTGATTTTTTTTCTAATTTTCGATGGTTTTA